TTTTAGTAGAGACGGGGTTTCACCGTGTTAGCCAGGATGGTCTCGATTTCCTGACCTCGTGATCCGCCCGTCTCGGCCTCGCAAAGTGCTGGGATTACAGGCTTGAGCCACCGCGCCCGGCCTCGACAGGCTATTCTGACAGTGTAAGTTTCCTGTACATATCATGACAGCTACCATTTATTGAACGCCTACCATGTGTCAGCCATATACACTATCTCCTTTAAATCTCCACTGAACGACTCCTGTGAGGTCGGGACTCTTATTGCCATTTTATAGGTGAAGAAAAAGACCCAAATTGGCTAAGTTGCTTGTCCAAAGTCACTGCACAGCTAGTTAGGGGCGGAGCTGGAATTCATTTTCAAGTTTGGCTGACTCCAAAGTCTCTGCTAGATCAGGCCATATACTCTCCAGCCTCCTGACAATTTTATGAACTCTCTGGACGAACATCCCTGTTTCCTATTCTGTCTCTTCCCAATTAGGCCAAGAAGGGAACTCACTGCACAGTTGTTGGCTGACCAGGTGACTGAATGGCTGAGGGGTTTCATCCCACTTTAGATTAAGACTTCTCAGGCCTGGAGCGGAGATTGGTGCCTGGCTTGGGCTGGGGCCTGGTAAACCCACCTTGGGTATCACTTCATAGATCCCATACATGGTATAGCTGGTCCCGATCCAGATCCTCACATCTCCCAATGCGTAGGCCTGGATGCTGTCACGAACTTGACTGTAATCCTCGATTTGCACACACATGGGGCCTGTGCAACTGGAGTTCAGATAGCTCAAGGTTTCAGAGCTAAAGCGACTCTTGTTTGCAAACAACCTGGGTGGGGCGGGAAGGCAAGGAGGGTCCTGAGCATCTGTTAAGAATGCAAAGGACCAGAGGCAGTCACAGTCCCTTTGTTCCTGGAGGTCAAAGGAAGCCAGCCCCAGGGAGCCAAGCAGGCCAGATTTGGGATACAACAGGGACAGAGTTTTAAAGAGTCAGGAAAAGCCAACGGGGGTTTTCTAAAGGGTTGTGCTGGGGCAGGCACCAAGCTGATGGGCAACCAGAGGGCTGTACATTAAGGCAGGATCAGTGGTGGGGCATCGAGAGGGTGGAAGTTGGAGGAAGTCCACGACAGCAAACTAAGGAAAAGCCATACCTGATAGAAGAGTCTGTGAGCAGTGTGTAGGAATAGAAGAAGGGGTTATAGGGGATGTCACTGGCTCGAAGGTTGAAGAGCCCTGGGAAGAGAATTGACAAGGACTATTTAATGCTGATCTGCCTGAGGCAAGCTTTTCTTTTCTTTTTTTCTTTCCTCCCTTCCTCCCTTCCTTCCTTCCTTCCTTCTTTCCTTCCTTCCTTCCTTCCTTCCTTCCTTCCTTCCTTCCTTCCTTCCTCCCTCCCTCCCTCCCTTCCTTCCTTTTTTTTGACAGTATCTTGCTCTGTCGCCCAGGCTGGAGTGCAGTGGCAAGATCTCACTGCAACCTCCACCTCCCAGGTTCAAGCAAGTCTCCTGCCTCACCCACCCAAGTAGCTGGGATTACAGGTGCCCCCCACCACGCCCAACTAATTTTTGTATTTTTAATAGAGGCGGGGTTTCAACATGTTGGTCAGACTGGTCTTGAACTCCTGACTTCAGATGATCCGCCCGCCTTGGCCTCCCAAAGTGCTGGGATTACAGGCGTGAATCACCGTGCCTGGCCTGAGGCAAGCATTTCTGACACTTTTGCCCTACGGTTTCTTTTGGCCCCCAAAGATTACCAGCAACATGTTTGCATCATCTACCCCTGCATGTTACTCAATCTTTTTTTTTTTTTTTTTTTGGGAGGGGGGCGGTCTTTGAGATGCTGTTGAGAGTTATGGCTCTTTCCTCCCAGAAAAATGCAGATACTTAGCAGTCAGCACACAGTTCCAGTGGGTCCCTGGAATATCTGAAGCCCAGCCATAGGGATCAGACAAGAAGTCCTGAGCCATACCAGAAAGAGTAGGGTCCCACTGGGTGCTAAAGCTGGGAGTGTGAGTGCCCTGGGGTAGTGGCTAAGTTGTTGGGAGGCATTTGCTGGTCCTCCTCCCCTTAATGAGACGGAAGCACTTTGCTGCCATGGTCAGTTCATTCCTCTGGTGGCCTGTGGGCTGGTACCGGCTTGCTCAGGGCTACCTTGTGTCCTTTTTCTGCAGCCATGAGCTCCTGCCCCCTTACCCTTCTTGGTTCTCACGGGCTGTGGCCATGGAGTTCTGAAGAACTGGTGGGCACACGGTTATTTGGGGAGGAGCTAGCTTTGTGCTACAGGGCCTGGGAGGCTTGGGGCATTGGGGAGACCCAGGCGGCTACCCATGTCAGCAAATCCACACTCACAGGCCGTCTCCTCAAGCGCCGACAGAAGGACGGCAGTTGGGGCCTTCTGATGCTTCTGCATCTGACTTCGGACGCCAGATACTTTCTCCTGCCAAGTGCTCCCTAGAAGCAAAGGAGCCCAAAGAAAGTGTAAGTGACAGACCTTGGCTTTGGCACTTGGTTCCTGGAAGGTCAGCCTTAGAGTAACAGTTTTGCATCCTCTTCAAAAGCAGCAGAACCCTTTCCTCAAACAAACTCTTAATGACACGGGCCCTGCACCAAGATGGGGCTCAAATCCTGGCTTTGCCATTACTGGATGGGTGATCTTGGGCAAATTACTTAACCCCTCTGTGTCTCATTTTGCACATCTGTAAAATGGGGATGAAGTATAATAAGTATCTGCCTCAACAGGGTTGCTATGAGGATGGAATGAATTAATATTTGTAAAGGACACTCAATGGTATCTTGAGATGTAGTAACTCTTGTATCTTTCTGATTAATAAATAAGCATGTAGACTGAGATCAGTAGAGCAGTTCTAGTTGAAGGACAAAGGGGTAGGGCTGGGGCCATGTTTAACCTTCTCCTCTGCGGTAACTGTAGTATTTACTAAGCCACGGGTACTGGTCTAAGTACTCCATGTGCATTGTTCTAATGCTTACCCGTCCCATTTTACAGATAAGGAAACTGAGGCTTCAGAGAGGTAAAGTGATTGTCTAGGGTTTCATGGATGCAAGACGTGGAGCTGGGATTTGAACTCTGGTCTGTCTGACTGCATGGTCCACGCTCTTAATCTGTACAGACACTACTGTCTTGATAACATCGTCAGTCTCCAAATCTGTCCTTAAACTCTGTGTCACAGCACCGTCCTTTCTCAGATGCTTATATCCAGGTTCTAGGACTTTAGTTTTCATCTTCTGTCCCTGCCCCCTGCAAGGTATTCAAAGAATCTACACCAGGCAGGACTAGGAGTTTGCTGGCCGAAGGCCATAAAGAGTCCTAGTTGGGTTAAGATATGAGCGTAAATAACTTAATGACGTGAAAAATATTTCTTGTAAACCGGTAAAACTATTCAACAATGACCAAAGCTTTGGGTACAATACATTTTGCAGGTTTATTTTACTACATATTTACACATAATTTATGTTATGTGTAAAATACACATAGCATAAAACGTATCATTTTAACCTTTTGAAAGTGCACAATTCAGTGGCTTTCAGTACACTCACAATGTTGTGCAACCATCGCCACGATCTAATTCTAGAACATTTTCATCATCCCCAAAGGAAACCCTGTGCTCACTAAGGAGTCACTCCCTATCCCCCCTCCCCTGAGCCCCAGGAAACCACTAATTTATTTTCTGTCTCTATGGATTTGCCAATGCTGGATATTTCATACAAATGGAATTGTACAATTCCATTGAGAAGGCCAGGGCTTCTCTGACTGGCTTCTTTCACTTGCAATTATGTTTTCAAGGTTCAGGAATATGATACCTTTCTGAGAAACCAAATGAACCCAAATTTCAACGGTCTGGTGCATACAGGTATCTTTGAGTAGCGAACTTTTCATGTTCTGCCCTTTGCACTCTCCTTTCTCCTTTAAAACCTGCAAGTGGCTGGAAAGTCTCTCTCGTCTCTATAAGCTTATTGAAGCTGAACTCTGTTCTTTAGCTTCCAAACTCAAGCTCCAGGTGCCTTTTTCTTGAAGACTGACAGTGTGCGATGACTCGGCATCCCCTCACTTTTGGGAAGTGACAAAACCCTTCCAGCCCCAGAAAGGTTTTTCTGTTTTTTCTCCTCTCCTTCCCGACATAACTTTGACTTTCTTTATCTGAATAAGATGAGTTTTATTTATGATTTAACAGTCTTGGATAGCAAGTTTCTTTTAAAATGGTGTCAAGATGCAGAAAGAATGATTCTACAATTTACATCAGAACAGATAAAGAAAAATGGACACAATTTTCACTTGTTGCATCATGGCTGCTATTTTGAAATCTCCCTTCTGCTTTATTGGCTCCTTTCTAAATGAGAAATTGTGTGGACTTGCATGTGGAAAGGGATCTCTTGGCTTGATCACTGTTACTAGGAATCCAAGTTCATTGGCTCATTCAGAATTCCCAGGGAGATAGGAGTGGTTGGTGGCCAAGATACTGATTCATAATCAGTAGCCCGGTCCTGGTCAGGACTTTAGTTACGACTTACAGGAATCTTACAACATACTGTTCTTTTGTGATGTATTTAGATAGTGTCAACAGGGTCAAGGTTATTGATGTTATATTTTTCTAACTTTCCTGATTGGTCCAGCAAAACCTGAACTGTCATCTGTGCTACAGAATGACTCTGAACTTAGTTATTTACTTATTCTGTCCACTCCTGGCCCACCTGACCCCAGCCATCTCACAAATCTAAATTCTTCATCACAAGAGGGTCACAAGTAAAGGTCTGAATGATTCATTATGAATCAGTCTCCGCCACCAGACAAGCAAATCATATCATGCTTTTTTATCTCTCTTGAAAGGGGTTGGATATTTCCTCTCATCTTTCTCTGTTTTCCTTCTTTCCTCCCTTCCTACTCCATCTTGCTTCAAATCCTAACATTCTTTAATCCAACATTTTCTAAGTATGGTCGGAGGACATTTTGATTCAGACTCCTCAAGGGGAGGGGGCCCTGAAATCTGCATTTTAAACAAGCATCCCAGGTGACTCATGTGCATGCTAAGGTTTGCAAACCACTGCTTTGGTACCTCTGATAATGAAGTTCGCCACCTACGGAATAGCAGCCGGGACTTGCGTTGCTACAAGTTGGGAAGGAAACTGGGCTTACTGAATCACCTGTGAATGCCTCCTGCAGGGCATAGATGGGTTGATTTGGAACAGGTGGCCTTTCTGATCCCCACACCAGGTCCACAAGGTTGGTTGTGATGGACACCAGCTGTCTGTTAGAGCCTTGGAGGGCCAGATTATAACTCTCCCAGGTGTCTGCAGAGACAGGAAGGAGTCACTTGTCCCTTGCCCATTTACACCTCAGGAAAAAATTGTGATTCAAGCAAAGTTAGTCCTGGTTCCCTTTGCCTCCATTTTCAGCCCAGCTGCCCTGAGCCTGCCCCAGCAGCCTGCCCCCCCCATCCCCCGGCATGTGTGCCCATGCTGGGGTATGTTTCTCATCCTCTTTCTGCTTTCCAAGCCTAATGCCCTGAGCCTACTCGAACACTGACTGCCACAAATTGGCTAAGCTTGTCTTTTACATTGCCAGTGGCTGTGGGTGGTCCTTCTTTTGGGCACTAATTATTTTATCAGGGCTTCAATGTCACAGTCCAAAGGAATGGTGATGTTCTGGCCATTGGACAGGCTGGCAAAGAAGCCAGTTCTAAAGCACAAGCCTTTCAGTACATATTCATAAGGACTCCCCTTTGGGAGAACGGGCTGGCCAGCTGTCTGGGGCCCCAGAACTCAGAAAGTTGTATTCTCAGGGGCCTTTTTTTTTTTTTTTTTTTTTAAAAAAAAACAACTCAGAGGCCCTCCCAACTCTTTTGACCCTTCTAAGCTACCTTCCAGAAGAGGGTTACCATGTGATTCCAGCACCGTCATTGGCAGGGTTCCAGGGCACAGAGGATGGTTCTGAGTTCAAACACATTCTGCCTATTCATCCACTGGATCTTTAATGATTCACTGAGTCTTCTAGGTTGGGTCTCTGCACTCATGGATTTTAAAATATTTGTACTGATTCTTTTAAATGTATTTTAATTACACAATTCCATGAATACATCCTCATTGCAAAACATTCTGCAACTACAATTTCAAATGCTCTATCTTTATAGTCCCACCGCCCCTCCTTCTACCAAGGTCCATTTCTTTATATCCCAGGAAAGCTAAGTCACCCTTGTTGGCATGGACAAATTCAGGGACTGAGGGAAGACCATACCAATGGACAAGAGGAAGGGGTCAAAGCCCACACACCCTCCAGCAGGAATCTCGGTGAGGAGCCAGGTGACAATAGGAGTGGTGCCAACTGAAAGAAAGATAGGAAGGAATGCAGAGGTCACCCCCAGGGCCAGCCCAAGGCCCTGCAGCCAGGGGTTCTGTCTGATGGTCCTACCACGTGTGTCTTCCTTGAGATCAGCCTCGAAGGTCAGTGATGGCCTCAAATTTCCTAAGCTCCCCATAGGGACCCAGCATGGTCCTACATGCATGCTCTCACCTATATCTTCCTGAACCTAGTCCAGGTCCCAAGACTTGGGGGACAAATCCATGCGGCCTTCTACCTTCCTTATGGAGCTCCCAGTTGCAGTCCATCTGCCGCTCAGCCTGAGTCCAGTAGCGACTGTCGGTCCAGACAGCTGCTTTCTTCATGGTCACCACTGCAGTTCCTGGGGCAGAACAGAGAAGCTTGCAGGTGAGGGTGAAGGGGAGGAACGTGGCATTAGCTGATGGATGTGCAATGCAGTGCTGGCTCTGAGAATGCCACGAGGGGCCTCTGGAAAGAGATTCTGTCCTCCATTGGAAGGAAGTGAGGAAGGAGATGTTAAAAAGAGCTATGGGGGGAGCTGGCAGAAAGGTGTCCTGAATCAGGCACCTCTGCTTTGTGTCGAGGGCTGCTTGTGGACTTTCAGCAGAAGTGAGGTCAACTTTTGGCTGCAAGTAGGCGCTCTCAGGAAAGATGGGGCTCAGCGTAAAGACTCGGTGGCTGATCGGGACGCTAAGGCAGAGGCTCAGCTGAGGACTGGTGGGGAAGAATAATCCAGAGATTTTGGCAAAGGGAAAAAGAGCCTATGATGCACGAGGCAGGGTAGTTTGAAGCCCAAGGAGGAACGTTTGAGGATCAGAAAAGGAAACTTGGATTTCATTCAATGGGCCAGGATCACGGTGCGAGGCCCCTTCAGACACTGTGATCTCATCAAGGGCTTCTGTTTGTGTCTCATTTGGCCGTGTGAAGTGATGTTGTCCGTAAAGCAACTGGCAAAGGAAAGCTTTGTCCCCAAATGAGCCCTCATGTGAAGGGAATCGGCAGATTCTTAGTGGTTAGAGGTAGAAGTAGCAACTATTCAGAAATGGAGCCCAGGAGTGCCAGACTGGGCCTGGCTGCAGCAGAGGTAATGAGCATGGGAAGGCAGCCTCTGCCTCATTTCTACACAGAAAATGGCTGGTGGGCTATGAGATATGTGCCCTGGGGAATATGATGACTTTGGGCTAGTGGAGGGAGACAGAGAGAGTAGAAGGGTTTTCTCTACAGTAGGTTCTGGGGTCCCAGATGCTGAGACACTAGCCACATTAGGTCCTCTGTGACCACCTCTGGATCTACCAACAAAAGCAATGGGGCTGGGTAATGATTGTCACCTGCAGACCCTGTAAAGCCTGTAATCCACGCACGCCTCTCGTCATGTTGGCCGATGTACTCGTTCTAGGAAATCAACAACACCATCATTAGCCTTTTTCGTGGTGTCAGATCCCACATGAAAGGCCCCCAACCACATCCCAGTTATTTCTGTCTGTCAGCTCCAACCCCTTGTCAGCTACAAGCCCAAGCACACCAAGTGCCTCTTCCAGGAAGCCCTCTGTAACTCTCCCAGCCTTCAATATCTTCCCTTCCTTTGAGCAACCGTAACTTTTGCAATTCAACACCCCCTGCCCCGCCCCATCCACACTGGACTCAGTGCAACACTGGACTGTTCTGCAAAGGAGCCTTGTTGCCCTGCCCTGCAAATTCTATGCAGTCTAGGGTCCTGTCTTTTGGTTCGTTTGGGATTTCCCCTCCAGCTAACCCTTCTCCCTCCTGAGTCAAGCACAGTAGACTGGGAACATCATAACTTCTGCAAAGGGCTTTACATTATCATATTTTGATCCTCATAATCCTTGGAGATAGATCTCATTACAGACCCATTTCTCTTTGCAGAAGAGGAAACTGAGGCTCAGGGAAGTTCAGACACTTACCCAACATTCTTAGCCCTTCCCAGCATGTAGGAAAACTAATTCAAACAAGCTCATTGACACTGAAAATGCCCTCTCTCCCAAATGGGCTGGTGTTGGAAAGGTGGATGGTATGGAGGGTGGAGCTAGTGATGGGAAACGGTGGGATGGGTGCCCCCCTCCACAATCAACCCCGTACTCCCATAACCCAGGATTTTGGATCATTTTGCCACTCCATTCCACAGAGTATGGGAAGGCCTGGGCCGGAAGGGAGCTTAGAGTTCTTCCAGTCCAATTTCCAGCCCACCTTCTAACCTCCTAGGGCAGGGATACCCTAAACATTCATTCTGGATCTGCCTTCTAGGAATTGATGAAAATTGATTCTGAAGTTGTTTATAGTTTAATTTCTTGAGGTTAAGGAGGTTTGGCAATGTCTCCCTGCCTATGTAGAAGGATACATTCTTTCAGTTGCCCTAAAACTACCATGTCCGTGCTCTCCACTTCCCTCCCTTTGCCCGTCAGATCCTTTCTCTGCCTTCATCTTCTGAGTTTTAACAGCTACTGTTTGTGGTCTCTGACCCAGGGTATCAGAGAGGGCAAGGGGGAGAGAAGCTGTCTCTTACCATGTGAGCATCCGTGTCTGGGATGATGTAGGCCGAGAGATTCTGGGTCTGCATCTGCTGGCGGAGGGCTGTGAGTGACACTGTGGTGTTGACCACAGTAACTGGAAGGTACTGACAGATGACAAGAAGATATCGAGACACAAACAAACAGATACATATGTTGCTTAAAGAAAATCACACATGGGCCCCTGGCCTCCAGAAGAACCCCCAGCCTCTCCTGAAGCAGGGGTTGGGGAAAGTTAGGCTGACCTGGCTTGGGAAGGGTTGGGGCGGCAACTGATGTTACCGCTTAGTCTAGATAAAGATGCCTGGGCTGGGTGGAGATGGAGGTGTTGAAGAGTTTGGAAAGGGACCCCTTGTGACAGTAACGGGACCTGAGTCTGGGATGCGGGTGTGGGTGAGAACTGCAGGGGTCTGAGCTCTGGCACTGGGCCAGGCCATGCAGATGGTCCTTCTTTGGCTACCTGGGGTAGGGTTGCCAGATTAGTAAATAAAAATACAGGACACTCACCTAGTTATGTTTGCATTTCAAATAAACAATGTATAATGTTTTAATGTAATACTTACATTAAAACGTGCACAATTTGGGGCATACTTGCAGTAAATTCTTATTTGTTATCTAAAATTCAAACGTAACTGGGTGTCCTGTATTTTATCTGGCAACCTTCCCTTGGCAGGGCTTTTTCAGGTTGCCACCCACTGGTCCCAAATGGCAGAGGAGAGTGAATGAATGCCCCCAACAGTTTGAGATATTGCCCAGAAAGACCCTTTCCAGACCAGTTCTCTATTTCTTTACAGGTCGTTTTAGCTTTAAAACGAAAAGCATGTTTTCGTTTGTGCTGTTTTGCTTTCTACTCCACAATATATCCATGTTTGTTTTAACATAAAAGTAATGTGGTTTGCCCACCCACCTGCCTGCCCTAGGGGGTCCCATAAAGTTGATATTGCTAGCAGATGTACTGCGTTTTTCCCATGGCTTACAGTGCTGCTGGCATGCCTACCCCTTAGCCCCTACTCTGATTGTAGAAAGAATCACTCTGCTCCCCAGCTAGGAAGCTGACTACTCAAGCCCCTTCTGCGGGACCTTTTCCTCATCTTCACACCCTAGGCCTCCCTCTCTTGCCCTTCCTTTGGCTTTTCTTTGGTTTTGGTTTTGTTTTGTTTTGTTTTTGAGACAGTCTCGCTCTGTTGCCCAGACTGGAGTGTAGTGGCACGATCTCGGCTCCCTGCAACCTCTGCTTCCTGGGTTCAAGCAATTCTTCCGCCTCAGCCTCCCAAGTAGTGGGGATTACAGGGACCCGCCACCATGCCTAGCTCATTTTTTTTTATTTTTAGTAGAGACGGGTTTCACCATGTTGCCCAGGCTGGTCTCGAACTCTTGACCTCAGGTGATTCACCCGACTTGGCCTCCCAAAGTGCTGGGATTACAGGTGTCAGCCACAGTGCCCAGCCTCCGTTGGCTCTTCTAACCCCTGTCTTCCTCCCTCTTCCCTTCTGTGCTTCTCCTTTTGCTGTCACTCTAGAATTTGTCTTTTTTTCCTCCCATCTTCCTAGCCTCTGCCTGGCCTCAGCCAAAGGCCAGCTAGGGCCCTCCTGCCCTCCTCCCACCTCCTAGCGGGGTTTCCCAGACCCAGATCAGCACGGAAGCAGATAACCTGCTGCGGGGAATGAGTGGGAGGGAGGGGAGGGCACTGATGTGGAGGGGAGGGAGTGGAAGGGGTAGGGGCCCCAGAGTCCGGAAATCAGGAGAAAGCCTGATAGGGGGAGGGGCTACCAACTGAGCGAATGGGGGATGGAGAAGACGATAGGGCACAGCGGGGGTGCCTCGATGCAGGGGTGAGTGGGGCAGGGTGGCGGGGAGGTGCGCTGGGGGGGAGGGGGCTTGTGCGCGGGGCGGGAGCGGGGGCGGGGGCTACTCACAGGAGGGTTGGTGGAACAGTTTCTCACATCCTGCCCTCCAAGATCCGCTGGCTTTGGGTGGCCCCAGGCACAAGCTAGAAGCCCGGAGAGAAACCCAGGGTCATTTGGGAACCAGCTAGTTACTAGAGAGGGAAGGACCTCAGCCCGCCCCGCAGGGCCTCCGTCCTTTGAAACGCACGAAGCTGGCCAGCTCTACTTGAGGATAAAAATAATCACATTTCATAGGAAATCAGGTTGAATTGGATAGCACCCTGGGTCACAATCAAAGAAATCTGTTTCATAGACAAGTGATTGCCACTTTTGGATGGGTTTTAGTGCTCATTAAATCAATTTTTCTTCTAATCTAATTGGGTCTTTTCAGGGTTTAGTGAAGTGGAAAAGTTGTGTGTAAATTAAATTTTTGTTATCAAATTTTCTTTGAAATGCTCTAGAGGATCACACTAAATAATCACCCCACCTTCATTTTAGCCTTTTATAAATCTAATTGTATAATACACTGGGTTGACTTCAATTCAAGGCCTGCTTGCACTGTTTCTTATAGTCCAAATCTTTGCCTATCATTCCAGGCTCATTTTCAATATATTAGACAGAAATCCCAGTCTTCCATGGTGGGGAAAGGTGGTTTAATTAGCATTTAAAGACACCCTACTATGTGCCAGATACTGAACGCAGCAATTCACCTACAGTATCTCATTTGATATTTGTGACATCCCTATGAGGTGGAAATTATTGTTCAGTTTCTGCAGAGGAGCAAGTCAAGGCCCAGAGAGATCTGGTAACTTGTCTAACTTGTGCCACCAGCAGTCAGTGGTAGAACAGGGATTTGAACCCAGGCCATCTTAATACAAAAGAGGTGAGTGTCCTTTCTGTCCTCCCACTCTGCCAAGTATGAGAGGTGGGCCTGGAAAGGGTGATGCCACAGAAGGGACAGAGTATATGGAGATCTAGTTTCCAGTTAGGGCTTTGCCCCAAATTTAGAGTGACTCAAGAGTGACCCCCCCAATATTGAGCAAACATCTAAGCGCCTACTGTGTGCCAGGCACTGGACTAAGTTCTCCAGGCTCTGGACCTCTGGAAAGGAGGGGCTTGAATTAGACAAAGTCCCTTCCTGCCCTGAAAGCCCAGTGGTCTCTGATAGTCCTTGCCTCTAACCCCTCTGTCTTTTAGGGAGGGATTTCCCTAGAGGGTAATGGGGCCCTGAGTGTGGGGAGACGTTACACTCCCCCTGGCCTCACCCCTTTTTTTTTTTGAGACAGAGTCTCTCTCTGTCACCCAGGCTGGAGTGCAGTGGGGCGATTTCAGCTCACTGCAACCTCTGCCTCCCGGGTTCAAGCGATTCTCCTGCTTCGGCCTCCCAAGTAGCTAGGACTACAGGCATGCACCCACCGCACCCAGCTAATTTTTGTATTTTTAGTAGAGATGGGGTTTCACTATATTGGCCAGGCTGGTCTCAAACTCCTGACCTCAAGTGATCCACCTGCCTCGGCCTCCCAAAGTGTTGGGATTACAGGCGTGAGTCACTGCACCCAACACCCCTCCGCACCTTTTTTTTTTTTTTTTTTT